TTGTCAATACTTGCTAGTTTTTTTGCAGTTGTAGCATTGTCTATGACCGACTTTTTTACACAACGCAGCAAAAGATTTCGTGTTAGTTCCAATATACTGGAATATAAGAATGGACTGAGAGGTTTGGAGGTCTGAAAATTTAAAAGAAAAGGTTGAAATTCTTCAGAAATTAGCTTAAAGAATGCTAATTTTGGTAGCATTATTGGATCCTTAACACAGTCTTCTACATTTTTTTATTGAGATTCCGGCTAGCTGAGAATTTTTTTTCTCTTCTATGTACCTTTTAATGTTGTCAAAAATTAATATGGCATGCTCCACACAAGGAAGATATTCAAGCCACCTGATTTGGCAGAACTTTTTTGGAAAAATGTTGCTACCAGATATGTCAGTATACTCTGCTCGTCTAACAGGACTATCTTTGGAAATATAGTATATTCCTCTCAGAAACTGGGTCACCTTCCATCCTATTTTATTGTGACTTATTTGAAATGCACCATGGATAACGTGAAGGCAACATGATCCAATATTCACCATCTTAGAAGCATCTTCATTTAATTCAATGCATGATTTTAAAAGTGTCAAAAACTTCCAATTCACAGCAAGACCATCCATGCTTACTTGCAATATTTTCTCAAGTGGAAGTGGATTAATACAGGCTTTAAAAATTTCCAGCATATTCTCTACAGTAGACTTTTGAAGAAATGCAGAATTCAAATATCGGGTGCAAACTTGTTGTTTCGAATCACACCAAAAATGAATGTGCAGATCCATTTGTCCCTTTTGTGCAATTTTGTTCAGTGCTTTGTCAAAACAAAAAACAAATACTTTACATATTGAAAGCTCTGCTGTTTTTGGAGATTAAAAATTCAATTAATCATTTCATTTCAGAAGAAAATTCAACTTAAATTAAACGTATCTTGAAAAATACTGAAAAAAGTAAATATTGGTTAAGACAAATGTTCCATGTGCAAGAAAGAGGAAATTTTCTCAACTGTTGTCTGTAAACCAGTTATTCACACAAAGAGCAATAAACCTAGCAACCCTATCAAAAATTCCTTATCATTGGATAAACAAGAGGAAAATTGCTAACAGGACAGGTTCTACCAGGGAAAGAGGAATGTTCTTATGAGGAAATTACATATTTTGAAATACAGAATTTTTCCTTGAAACTTTATTTTTGCCTGTCAGTCTTTGAATGAACTATAGTTTTTTTTATTTTCCTAACTTTATGAACTTGTAAGAAAAATCTTGACTTTATGAATATGTAAGAAAAATCCTGACTTTTTCCTGACTTATTAGCTTAATTTTAGAATATCCTGACTTTTGCAGGTTTTGCAGGTTTTCCTGACCGTGTAGGACCCTGTAACAAGAATCAAGAATCCTAGTCTTCTGGATTGGGTTCAGAATTACAAGGCTACGGAGTTGACTATTGATAGTCATAAACTCAAAATCGGGTCAGCTGGTCAACACCGGTTATAAATATAAAACTAGCAAGAGAAATTGTGCTGACCGAGGTTGTTTTACTCGCCAAAATCTCTGATCAATCAGCAAAATATATATATTTTTTAAAAACTGTTTTTTTTTGTTAACGCGCTTTCTTGGTTTAAAAACAAAACAGGACTAGTCTCCTTATGCTATCGAATACGTTACATTACATTTATAATCACAGATGTTGTCCAAAATACCAACAAATAGTTAAGTTCTGGAGAAGATTTTTAAGCGTTCTCCGCTGGAACAGTTTTTTAAAACAGTGCCCCCCCCCCACTTACGCAGGAAGAAGTGTATAGCATTGAAATTTTAGTGCAATTTCATACATAAAGCTCAACAATTGGCTCAACATGAGCTAAAAAAAAAAAAATAATAAACTAGAAGAGATTACTCTCTGGCAATTTAAACATACAAGGTAAATTAACAAAACACATTGAGTTAATTTAATCAGCACAATATACAGTAATGGCATATGAAGACTCATTTTTAAGGAAATAGAGTAAATATAATAATTTCCCATTTTACCTTCAAGCAATCAAAAGTTTAAATTATCCTCAGTAAATACAGTAAAATACATAGATCAGATATACGGAAATCGTGATGGTTTTAAAATATTTGCAGCGAAAAAAGATAGATAAACGAGTCTCATGTCACTAGAGATCATCCAATGTTATTTTTTTTTTACTATCAGAAACAGTAAATTCAATGTATATGAAATTTTTATGGTTTAACATTTAGCTTACGCAGTTGCTTTTAAAAATGTTTTATTAATTTTAAATTAATGTGTGCATTTTTATCGCGTATTTTTTTAAAAAAATTAGTTAATGGTGATTTCAAGTTATTCTTCACATGTAACAGTAGGATATTTCCAGTCATCATAAAAAATAATAAATAAATTTTTTGAAGTTTGGAATTTATTATAGAATAAAAAACAGCACTTTCCTAAAAATTTTATTATGTTTGAAATCCTCCTCATAAAGAATATTAATTAAAACTAAAAATAAATTAATAATTTCCCATTAATGTCATATGAATTAAAGTAACACAGTTGAAAAAGAAAATTATCTCAATTATCTCATAAAGTAATGGAAGAAAATTCTACCTTTCCAGTATATAAATAAAAGAGGACTTCTCTAAAAACATCAGGTTTTGCGAGAGGTAACCTGATTGGAGTGGGCGTACCAGGTGGTGAGGGTGAGACAGTTGATCCTGGTACCTTGCACATTTCACCTCGTTTCACATTTTGGAAACTAGCACACCTAAAAAGGAAAAGAAATTACTACTTTAACTATGAAACAACAAGCAGTCCTGCAAATCAATAAAATAATTAAAAGTTAATATTATTATTAGTTTTTATATGTGAAGCTAATTTTTTTGTGAAGAAATGACAAGTCAGAACTTTTTCTGTTCAATTTATATTTATTTATTTGAAGAAAAAGAAAACTTATTCTATGGGTAATAACATAACAAGCCATGTTTTACAATTCTTAATGACCATTTTTTATAAGGTTATTTATTTTTTCATTTATATTTCTGAAAACATAAAACAACAGCATGTACCAAATTAAATTTTTTTTTTTTTTTTTTTTGAAACAAAATATTTGCGAATTTTATTTTGGCCTGCTACTGTCGACATTTGTAACTAATTGTTTCGTTAAAAGAAAGAAAAAAAAATCATTCAATCCACTAATGAATAGAGATCTTATTCACATTACTTCTGTGTATTGTAATTTTATCTGTTATTTATTCCATTGATGATAGAATCATTTATTACATTGATCATTAAAACATTTTATTCATTGCTCAATGGATGTTTTATTGATTAACTTTATTCTTTTATAATTTCAAAGATTAAAAACTAAATATCAGCCCAATCGTCACTAAGTGCACAGTCCTATTTGGATTTTACAGCCATGAGATAGGCAAAAAAGCTATTCACAGTTTTGCATTACTTGTTAAGAATCATAATTAATTTTTCATAGTGAAAATCTATGTAATACTATAAATTAAGAAATAAAATTCGCTTGTTGTAAACACATTTACCTATATTTCGAAAAATAAATCCACAAAATAAATTAAATATACTAGGTTCTTTATAAATAAAAAACTATGTTGATGTAATATTAAAATACTGTGGAGAAAATAAGGAACTAATAATGCATAATTTAGATATTATTGCTTTAAATAAATTATAAGATGAAGTTCTACGTAAACTAAACAAAATCACCAATCAATAGCATCCATAAAAATTTGGATAAACAGCTAGGCTGATATCGGAATTTAGAATCTTAATCGTACTTTTGATTTATGCCCAAGCAGATAAATTGGAAAAGAACAATACTTTAAAAACCATTATCTACCTTTCGTTCGTTGTTAGAAACAAATGGCATCCATCTTCAGAATCACGGATAACAGTGATTTAATTTAGCAATGTCTATTTAACTAAGTAAATTCAAAACAGTGAGCGAATAAAATGGAATGTTATAAATGAAGGCAGAGGTGTGGATGCGCTGCCATTTTTCCGTCATCAATTTCTCAACATAGAATGCTTGTATTAACTTAGCAAATATAATATACTAAATATCTACAACTAGGGGAGATGTTGAAAAGTTTTCGATCCATCTGTTATATTTTTCAGCTTAAAATACCATATTAAAATCGTTCTTTTAGTTTAAGCTTTTTATAGGAATAGTTTTAACAGAAAAAAAACTTATATTGTTATTAAATTTATTTACACACGTTTAAAAAAGGGGTTTATTCAAATTATATTAGTTTCTGGACTAATCTTATTAATTAAAGTATAAATCTAAGCTCTATATTTCTTTTTATGCTTCAATGTTATGCAAATTGATTTTGAAAACGAATCTATAACGAAAAAAAAATTTTAGACTTTTTTTTTCAGAAATGAAATGAGAATCTAATTATCTTATAGACTACAACTATAAGAAAATTAATTTGCTTGATACTTTTTAAATTTTGATATAAACAAAATTTTCAGACGAGTCAAAATATTTCCCTGCTCATTTTTATTGTAAATGGCGTTCTGATATTGTTGTTATTTTTTTTATTCCTTAACACTGACAGAAATAGAATGTTGTCGTTTATTTTCTAGTGAGATAGAAACTTTGAAAACACACACTTTTTTCTTTAAAAGGATTGAAATACTTAAGTTAACGAAAACTGGTACAATATTTTTGCTATTGTGCTGCATGCTGACAGACGTTAATGGAAATAATCTTACCAAACCCAAACTTCACTTACACATCAATTGGATTCTCTCAAGTGACGTTATCGTAGGTAAATCGTTTCATAAGCCAATGACGTCGCTTACAGGTATCCATATCAGTATGATTTAAATCAAATGGTTAGGCATAATCACTTCACTTGAGTTTCGGGTTTTAAGTCCCCGATTGCGCACTCTATGGAGAAATGCTTATAAAAGGCCTTAAATTAAATTAGAATTCAGTTTTTGTTATTCAATATGCCATTATGCCATACAGCAATATTCAAGTTTTGTATACATATTTATTTAAACTACACTTCCTAAGTTCCGTATGAATTAATCCATCACTCATTCCTTAAATCACGTATTTCAGGATAGACTTAACTTTTGCATATGCATAATTCGTAAACAAAATGCGAGCACAACCATATCCAAATTAACTATATTGAGTGAAAATGAACTTAGTGAGAGCGTTATTAAATTTACACCATCCTTTTCAATATACTAATATAATCAGCTGAATTATTAAAGAACACTCATTATGCAACGGTTTAACGAACGACAAACAGTTATAACGAATGAAAATTCGTTTGGCAAATGTATCAATTCCATGCATTTGTCATAGATGGAGATAGAAGGGCGCTAAATCGGTGTTCTGTTCGAAATTAGAACAATGGGAAGAGAAAGTTATGGACAAAAGAGCGGTCGGAAGCAGCTGTGAAGTTGGGGGAGGGTTTTGGAATGCCACCCCCCATCGATTTTGTGCCCTGGCACCAAGGGAATCTGCTTTCTCGACGGTGCATCGGTAATTAATCAGGAATAATAAGGAACACCGCTTCGCTTTTGCCACGCTCGATAATTAATTTATGCTGCCTCTGGTACTGGGGTTGCCAAGAATGGAAAATACTGCGCTATTTATAAAATTTTTAACACTGTTTGAATTGTAATGGCTAATAGATCTGGTTTTCTTCAGAAGTTAGACATATCATATATGACGTTTATTAGTTTACTTAATTCTTTACGCTTTTAAATATATTATGATTCAGTACCATTATTTCCAAGTTTCCCATAATTGGGCAATTATATGCACTGAACTATTAATACCTAATAACTAATCACTCTTCAACACATTGATGGCTACTTCTGACGCTTTGAAAATTATTATATTGAATACGAAAATACTTATGTAAATAGAATCATGTAGAATAGCCGTGTTGTTAATACAGGGTGTTCTGTAATGACCACAGTTACTTTTTATTATAACAGTAATTTTTGGAATTCTTCACAAAAATGAAAGCAATAAAGTAGGCTAACTGAAAGGTCGTAAATAAATTTTTAAGCTAGGAAAATATAAAAACGCTACCGAAATGTGATGAATCGTTATTGGGAAAGGCGGCTATACATAATATCAAAACCAGTGTGATTGCTGGAAAAAAAACAGAAAGGAGCTTGAAAGTGCTTATTTGAAACAACTTGCAACGAAACACGTTCTGATGCTCAGTACACTTACCTTCCTCTATCATGATTCATTAGATTTCGAAAGCGTTTTTTTATCGCTTAATATCAAATCGGGACCTCCAATGAGAGTTCTTTTTGAGGAGGATTTTTAAAAATATATAGCATAGGCAAATCAATACCTCTGGGGGTACTGGATTGGAGATCGATCGTTCTCTGATTCAGGTCAAAATCACGATCTGTGGATGAATGAATGGGTCCCCCCTATAAACGGGTGCGACGTATGGTGTGGCATACTCGAAAACAAGAACAATCGCACCCCCTCTGCCTAAACAGGCATACGTCAACAACAACACAGCAAAGGCGGAATACTCCATATAATCCGGTTAATATTTATTATAATCAAAAATAAATAAAATTAGCAAAGATTTTTAAATTATGTCAGTTGATCAGTAGAGTATTTGTATATAGACAGAAACATTGTTGATAATAAAATTTTGATAATGAGCTAATACATAATTATACTTTGCGAATTTGTGTTATATAAATAAAATCCTTAAATCACGACCAAGATAATTTTAACTTGCCTTGACTTAACGGATCTGAACTTAGTTTTCGCTAACATTATGTATCTCATTTATTCCTTCTCCAATATAAGAACTGCTCTAAAAGTTTGCATTAGTTATCCGCCTTAGTTCTTTACGCATATTTTTGAATGACAGCGAACATTTATAAATATTTGTCGATCAAACTGCAATTTATTTATATTAATTGATAAAATTCTGATTAGTTTAAAATTTTCAAGCATGACACGTTTTATTTTGAGTTTTAGAATCAACTTTACGGTTAAGGGTTCGTTCCACACATTCGAGTGGTTAGTGAAGGTAGAACGTGCAAAGCAAAATCAGATCAATCGCAGTTATTTAAATAAAATGGAACATTTACAAAGTAAAACATATTTAGTGTAAATTTTGGATTCAAGTAAAAAAAATTTAATCTAAATTCTAGCTTTATAAAAAATCTCAACTAAAAGTTTTATTTTAAAAAAAAATCCAAATCAGATATCAATAAATTTAGATAGATTAAATTAATCAGTAGTCAGATTAAAATCAATAGAGTACAATTACAATTTTACACGAAAGGTTTAATAACATTTGTAAAGGTGAACGAAACCAATCAAACCAGTTATAACAAATAAATAACTTTAAAAAAAACTAAACTTATGAAAAATGAAATAATGTTGAAACAATTTTAACGACAGCAATAGCAATGACCTGCACAATTTTCCATGCAACGAAAGTACTAAATATATTAAACAACTAACAAAACTTAAAACCATTAACTTGCTTAACGAAAAATGTTTCAGGATTGAGTATATATATTTAGCATTGGCTAGTATATAATGCATACATATAGTTAACTGTCGTTATTTTATTAGATTTATGTAATTGCATTCAGATTAAGGTTTACAAGTTAACAAACACCAAGTGTTATTCAGATTCTGTAAAAAAAATTCTGTAGGCATCTTATACATGACCCATTTAGCAAGAAATTCTAATTCCGATGAAATTTTCTTTTTTT